GCTGAAACATCCTCTGCAAGATCATCACTTAGTGAGTCTCTTCCAACTTCACCCTAAAAAAGATTCTCTTTAGTCATGATAGTGACACATCTAAGACTTAACCACGCTGAGCGGTTTATTAGATTGTTTTCCCCAAACATCAAACTCCCTTGGCATCTATACAGATAGTCCACTACGCAAAACCCCTACAAGAATTCCAATTAACAAAACTATCAATCCATCTTGCACTAATTCGTATGATTATTTTCAACTGATGCCTTCCTAACTTGCATAATACTCACCAACCATGATTAACACGAGGTGACATAGAACAAGGTTAAAACATGCCGATGACTCACTCCAACCAGAGACAAAGCAAAAATCCAAAGTTCTGTCACGTTCGCACAACGAGCAGCCAACGAGCTCGCTTCCGCTCGTCAAGGCTCACACTGCGACACTAGCAGAATTTCACCCGCTGATGGCATTCCAGAGGCTCCGACCATGAACAACACTTAACTCACCCAAAAGTAAACATCAACACAGAACCACTACTTGGTACTATACTATTCATGGATATATCATGTTAATCACTCAACCTTAAACTCACTAGTATTCTTTGGTGAGAAATAAGATAACAAACTTTCTTAGTCCAACAAAAGTCAATTCAGGATACTTCGATCATTCATAATTACGGGAAATTCTTCCCCTCTTGACAACCAAGGTAATACACTCTTCTGAAGAACCCTGAAATCTTCCACGTACCCATTGACTGGGATCCTCCCCCCATCCAAACCATTGAACACTCCACTACAACGAAACCAGTTACTGAACGACTCACTACCAACACTCTCACCAATTACTTACAAGACCCTAAATTATAGACTGTTCCATGATTACACTTAATTCGTACTAAATCTTAGTTTGCTTCATGTTGTTTACCGCAATCGCACTTCTTTGGATACAATCCTCACAGTCCATCAGAAATGTGTTACTTCACATTTGTCTCAAGACTAAGAATCCATTACATACACTTGTGACTACCATGCTACTACCACGTATCCCATAATGCCGAGGTGTAACTTCTTCCACTCCACTTCACACTCTAAGGTCTTCACAAGTGAACGAACATTAATGACACATTTCTACCTTAATCTCAACAAAATCTTAATAATTGCATTGTACCTCTATCCAAAACTACATCATGTCACCGCTTTCATACTACAACATTGATACCGTTCTTCATTCTGCGTTTGCTTCGTTACCCATAACACTTTTCTTAATCCCAATTCTTTAAATCATCCAACTAGAGTTTCCTTGAATCCAAAATTCTTGTCATATCTTCCATCACAGACCTCTTTTGCCCATATCGTTAGAACTTCTGTTACTATAAAATACCTGTTCCTTGGATAACATATTCTCTTATAAGATCCTTGGGTAACTTATCATTTCCAAATTGGTCTCTCACTGAATATTAATTCATGACGTACTGTCCTAAATACGGTCCCCCTTCCAAGACTTAATATACTTGAGTTGCCCCTACTTCTCGTCTGATACACACATGCTTCACTTGGAACATGTAACCACATCCTTGAGTCTCTCTTCACACTTCAACACTACTTTGGATTCCCAACAAAATCTGAACGTCCTTAACTCTCCATCTCTTAACTACATCGAAGATACTATTTTGAACATATCCCTTGAAGTACTCCTGTTCATCCAAGATGTCCTAGTGACTTTAGAAACTGAAACACTAACAACTATATCATTTTCGGACCTTACGTCACACACTCTATAAAACATCCTTCCTTCCTCACCGAATGGGATCACTCAAAAGTCTTGTCCATACCAGGGGTCAATACAATTCCACTAGTCAATCCATATAGTCCTCAATACCCTGACCATTCATCCGGTAGAGATCCTTAACTTCCCAACTCCATCAATTCTAAAAGACGGCTCTAACTTTACTTCACTCTTTAATCCCATATTACCGGAAGCACAACTTATACTTAGACTTCAATTGAGCTAACCAAAACTTCTTACTTCTAACTCTTGGCTTCAGTCTACTCTCATAACACAAGTTCCGACATCATTTCAGAGTCCTCGTGGTCGCTCAACCATGATCCTACCTACCACATACATATCATTAGGTTCATCAAACCCAATACTACATAATATGACATTAAGAACCATGTCGGCAAGACACGCTTATGAGGCAGGAATAGATTTACTTATGATGTTTCAAGGATAGGTCGAAGATACAACCTGCTTTGATACCAACTGTAACACCCTGTATAATAAATACCTAGAATAATACCATACAAGTGTTTGGTTTGGTACTAACACCATCACAAGTGCCTATTGGCATAATTCACATACTTGACCATCTCTAAAACATAAAACACAACCTATGGTAGAAGACATGGGAAAAAGCCAAAAACAATAATATATAAGATAGAGGTACAATATCCTTTATTGTACAAGAAAATAATACACAGCAGAATAAACTCAAACTAAGCTTATCTTGAAACATCCAAGCATAGCTCCACATGTAAACTAAACCTGCAAACAATACCTGAAAAAATAACAACAATAATATGGTGATATAATAATCTCAGTGAGTTCCCCTATCTTATGGGTTCACTCGAATCTACAAGGTTCTAACCAATTTCTATCTCAAGTCAAATGGAAAGGGAATAAGACTTAAGTTCACACAATTTGCAATGTACGAAAACATGCCTCTTGAGTCCATCAACTCAAACAATAACTGGTTTGAAACTATACCAAGGTATCCCTTTTTCCCGTCCTTACCTACATCTAGGACTTTTGTCCGGGTCAGGGATCCTTGAAATGTATTTGACATACGAAATGGATTCAGATTCAAGGTGCTCAACACATGAATCTTCGCTTCTCGCGGGCCTACCCCCATCACAAGCCTTTACCCGTAGGTTTCATTCATACTCACACATGGGAATCAAACATGTCAAGTACTAGTGTGTACATTCTGGAGAAACGCTCTACATAAGCTTCAACTCTACGAACGACGCGTCGCAAGGGATTATTCCTGACTACATGATAAAGCATTACATAACATTGAATGGGTTTGAATTCTAAGGGATAACATCAAACTTTTGAATCGCCACATCCATTCGCTTATGTAATCACTAAGGATAGCGTGATTGTATTCGACAATCACAAGGCATCACACTCGCCTTAACCATAACAACACAACTGTACATTCTTCATACAAAGATCTCCTCACAACTAGACAACTACTTGCCAATGATACACACTTAGGCATCCTTGCACAAGCATTTACATCAATGTTATTCATCACGGCCTAATCATCTTACTAATGCATTTCATTGGTTAATATCAAGTTTTCCTCACCATTTTTATATTCTTTTAAGCATGTTATCACATGATCACAATATACATATATCATACATCATGTCATAACACAATGATATATAGCAATATCATTCATGGAACATACATAATAGCATAATATGTTAAACATAATCAACATAGTAGTTTACATACATATAAAGCTATACAAGCCACGACTACCCTCTTCAAAACATTATTGATTAGTTAATGGTCTCACATCACCATATAATATCACATTGGATTCTCTTTCCAAGGCTTCAAGTCTTATATCAATCGGACTCCCAATTCATGAATTATGGTGGGAAATAAGGATCCATACCATTCACATTCATCACCTTTCCATCTCTATCTTATCAATCCATGGCATAAACCTAGGTTGATACTTCACCATCAGAAAGAGCATTTAAGTAAATTTCCAATGTTCTGGCCGTGCCTCCATCTGAGTTACGGTTCTTAAGTTATGACCCAAACAGTACAAAGGGAAAAACACAAATGCAATCGAGCGTGTTAAGCACGGTTTACAGCACGATTTTAGCCCAGAACAGAATCAAAGGGGCTCCATGCGTGCTAAGCGTCATCAGGGTGCGCTAAGCGCGGTCCCCTGCGACTCCAACCTCCAAAACACCCAAATTCATGATTCTACCCCCAAAGTCTAATGATTTTTGCACCCACAACATCAATACACATGTAGAACAACAACATAACATCCAACAATCCAATTTAACATGTTATAATACAATAGGCATGCATTTCGCACAAAACCTAAGTTTTCCCCCCAACATGAAATTTCCTCCAATGCTACACTAGCTAATGGAACTCACCCTATTGCAGAAGATGAAATGATGGTGAAGATGATGAATCCAAGAAATTCTCTTCCCCTTCCAAGAGTTCCTCATGTTCTTTCCCTTTTTCCTTCTCTTTCTCTTTTCCTCTTTCTTTCTTTCTTTCTTTCTTTCTTTCTTTCTTTCTTCTTACTATTTTTCTCTTCGCATTTACCAAACATATATACTAAACATATAATATAATGGGGTAAAATATCTCCAATTGTTATTTTGTCATCTAACACCAATTGACTAAATATTAGAGTTACCGAAATATCCTCTCTTCTACTTATTAATATTGGTCTATCTCTTTTATCAATAATTGATCTCTTCAACGTCTACTAGTTACCCTATTGGTCCCAACTAATGACACTTAGAGCACTTAAGAGCTTCAATAAATCTAATTGATACTCAATTGGGCATTTAAGGGAATATGTGCTATTACACTCCCCCCTTAAATTAAAATTCGTCCCCGAATTTCCTTTACTCAACTAAAACCACTCTTGCATGATCTTCTTAGATCTACACTTAAGTTTACTTCAATTAAAACTTCTGACGTACTCAAATTTCAACTTGGCTTCATAGACCAATTCCTTTCTTTCATAAATTCCCAACTTCACTGTCTTTACTATACTTATGTTCCAATGATGGTTAACTTCTAATTTTTCTTTTCCATAATTCATCTGCCATTTCATCTTAGAACATTTGGTCACTTCTGCTTGTAGGAACTATAACTCCATACCCATTTATCCTCATATGGAGAATCAACAAAACATGTGGCCTTCCCCAATATAGGCCATACTGCACCCAACCATGTCGAACAACCGCAAACTGAGTCAGGCGACGGGCGGCAACAAAGAAGACAACGGTGGTCACTATGGCGGTGGCTGCAGAGTTGGCGGTGGTCACAGAGATGGAAGTGGCAGAGGAAATTATGGTGGTCGCGGAGATGGCATGCTAGATGAAACGTCGATGGTCACAAACCGCAGTGATAATGGCGACAACAATGGAAACAGGAATAACATTGTTTATGGTGACATTTATTCCAACATAGGCGACAATGACCAAGAGGGTTCCTCATACTCCCTCAAGATCAATATTCCTAAAATGAATGGGAATAACTATAATGAATTAGCCCAAATCGTTTGCTTGGTATTATATAACAAAAAGAAGCTTGGTTTTTAATAGGAGCAGTATCATAACCGGCAACAAGAGACTCTCTTTACAAATAATGGAAGTTTGAAAAATCCTTGATTATTGTAAGGTTGGTAAGATCTATGGAAACTAGAATATCTAAGTGTCACACCCTAATTTTTGACCTTAAGATCCCGCCTCCTTGTTTTTTTACCTGATGTCTTTTGTTACTATTATGTGTGCATGTTTTTACTAACAAGTATGTGCAAGTGTAATAACTTCAGGAAGAAACAATATTCATCCTCATTGACGAGCATCTCGAGGCATGGCCGGTTAATCCTGATACGGGCTCCATTTCTATAATCATCTCTGCACCGTTGGACCACTCTCGGATCATTTTTTAAGATAACATGGATGGACTCTCTAGCTATATCTTGTTAAAGTCATAATCAAAGGGTGGTTCAGATGCTAGAGTGCATGATTAATACTACACCACTACCTCAACATATAATATTTGGATTTGGGTCTCTATTTTCCTTCTCGGTCATAGTGTAAAAGACGAAATCGCAAGTTTATGGAATCAAGCATACCAAGAAATTGGTGTGAATGTCTTGAGTTGGAGATATCTAAAATTTGAACAAAAATCCATTCAACTTTGTGGTAAGAAGCCATTTGCCATTCGATTTACAAGATCAAAGAGGTAAAGATAATATAATATTGAGAGTTCTTTACACCATCTAAGGATTTTACGAATAGGAAGTCATACATAGTTCAAGACCCATCACTTTTTCCGAATTCAAAGTCATTCGACTATTGTGTATTATCCTTTAACTTTAAGGGCCATGATCACATAATTACAACGATTACAAATAATTGCAAATATACAACGGGTTGCCATTTGCAAACTGCTCCATACTAGTCAAAATGAGACACTGGTCGTCTTTCCGCTCAGTTGCACGAATCAAAACAACCTGCAAATAATAAGTCTTCATTTAGTCACCATGCAAAAGAAAGTAAGCAGCATGGAGGAAAAGAAAGTGTAATATCCAAACCTGTTCCAAATAAACACCATCATTTCTAACAACTCGCAAACCTGTCAAAAGCGAAGCACAACCGGTGATCAGAATACCGTTGAGGAGATAAATTAAGAAATAAGTTCAGATGAAGATAAGGAGTTTCAGCCCTCAGTTTAAACTCATCATCGGGCGGAAGTTCGAGCAGCCGGAAGGGCGACAGCCAGGGCTGCCACCAGCTTCCTACCAAGCGTCGAAGACAACGAAATTTCAAACAAGAAACAATTGATTTTGGACAGCTCCAGCATAATTCATAACATCATGAACAAGCCCACACGATATTAAGGCAACAATGACAAACCGACGCGGTTCAGACCATTAAGTCATCATCACCGGATATGAGCCTTTCTCGACGGCATCGGACAAGCAATATCTGAACTTTTAGTAGTGTCCTGAAAGAGAAAAAGAAGATGTTGAAAATTCTAGCAAGCACACGATGGATGTTATTCCCAAATTTATAACATCCACTGTGACATCTTCTACTTAACAGCTAATAATCAGTAATAATAAAAGCAGTAAAAACACAACAATTGTTTACCCAGTTCAGTGTCAACAACACCTACATCTGGGGGCTACCAAGCCAGGGAGGAACTTCACTATTAGCAGAATTAATTCAGAGTCAAACAACACAGTTTGCACTCCTCACTTAAAACCTACCCAATGACAATTCAGCCTAGAGACACTCTAGACCTGAGTATACCCACTCACTCCCCCTCAATCACCACAGTGATATACAATTCACAAATACAGAATAAATATGAAGATACACTTCATACACACCTTAATCTTGCTTCACAACTTTGATCAAGGAACTCACACACTCTTGCTTCACAACTTTGAGTGAGACACATCCTAGATTCTACCTATTCAATGCAATTATCCACCAGACAATTGCTTGGAGTACAAGTATTCCTAAACAAAATTCACACGTGAAGACTAGCCTTCTTCACTCACAAGGACTCTGCAATTTGCACTCTTTCTCCTTCTGTCAAGAGCTGCTGTTCAGGATTGCTTCTTCTGATATTTATAGCAGTTGTCAGTCCTTTTGGGCCTTGGTGCATAAATCAGGTTTTATTCATAACAAACCTATTTTCAATGATCTGAACACTTGCCACTTAATTCAAGGATATTCTAGTTCGCCTAGGGCTTCTAGAAAGTCTCCTGATATCCAGCTTGAGCTCCTATTCTGTTTCCTGGTGTTACGGTGAGAATCGTGATACCAAGCTATGGATTAACTTGAATCTTAATTCTTAAATTCACAACCGGACTTTAATTTATCCAAAGGAAAGGTCTAAAGAAAAAAAGAACCTTTTGCGCGATGTAATAACAACGCTAAGAGGTTTGGGGATCGGGGGTTGGTTATGCATATGGTAGGTATTTCACATCCTAAACATCTGTAGTACTCTACAGGAACCTTTGGTTTGTTTGTATGCTAAGTTTGCTAAATGTTTACTATGGATTGGGATTGGGTAAAAAGGTTAAGGTTAAGACCTAAGGATAGTTTCTAAGTTTGCTCGCAAAGACATCGCGTCCTCTGCCTACGTGTCCTAACTAGGATAGAATCAGAGCAATCGTAGTTCACCTCACTAGGTTTGAAGAACACTTGATTATGATCAAGGTTCAAAAAGGGGGACAAACATTACAATGCTTGTGTAGAGTTTTAACAAAAATCTCTAGATCTATGTTATAACACTCAAGATGGGAGTAAGTAATCATTATTATGATTCTTTCATAGAGTTTACAAACTCTATCCTAGGGTTCTAGTTGAAGAACACTCCTAGAAAAGGTGGTTCCTTTAGACTTAGAGAAAAGTCTAATGGCTTATACTAAGGTTCAAGATGACTTCACAAAGTCAAGGGCGTGGGTAATGAGCTATCCATGACACAAGGGTCAATGGAGAGACTTTTCCTTTGGAAGGAAAGAGAGAAGGCAACTAGGATGAGAACTAAAGAGTTCCATCACTTGGGGAAGAAATACTTATCAAAGCAATAAACAAACAAGTATGAAGAATACAAGGGGTATGGTTACAACCAAGCAAGCATGCATATCACAATAAGCAAGGATTAGAATAATACAATTGGTTTCAACCAAGTATGACACATCTTTACAAAGATAAAGGAAACAACTCGAGGGGTACATATTAACAAATATGGAAACAACAATCATACAAATAAGTCACAACTTAAGGTAAGCATGCCATAAGTTCAAGGTGTATCAAATGTAACAACATTAAGCATTGATGATAATCAAGTATAAACAAGCATGTAAGACATGTCACAACAACTTAAGTTCAAAATTTTTTAGGAAGGAAACAACAAATTTATGGTAACCACCAATGAGAAACAAAGCCTTAACATGTTAACAAACACAAGGGATCAATCACAATCAAATCTTACAAGATAAACTAAGCATAGTCCAAAAGAAGTTCAACAAGATGCGAGGTAACGATCCTAAAAATGAACCAACTTCCAAGTAGGCAAAAGGTATTGTGAATACAAGCAATTTTGAAATTTTCTTTCATTAAATGAAATTAGACATTATTATGAACACTTTGCAAAAAGAATGGATTGAAAATAATGAGGCATGCAAAAGTTATGAATCAAGTAGGCAAAAGGTATTATGAATTTTTGGTGAAGATAATAAATAAAGCAAGTAATAAAAAGAAATGGTCATGGGAGGGGGTTGAACCCATGCCCTTTGGTTCACAAACCCAGAATTTAACCACTTGGGCACTTGCGCGCGCGCTGGCAAGGAATGGAAAGGAAGAATAAAATGATGAAAACATGACAATTGAAATAAAATACCAAAAATGGGTCATCACTGAAGATCGAACCCTGGCATGATAGGTGAAAGGTGCATGTTATAACCACTGGGGTGGCGATACATCCAGTATGTAAACCCACCCCATAAATATACATACTTAAACAAGTGCAAAAGTTGGGCAAACTTGAGGCAAGAACAAGTGATACTTCAAAATGCGTTTTCTTTCTAACTTTGTCAAAACTTAACCTTTTTTCATAAAATTTTAGCCTATCTTGACTGATTTTTTATGAGGATCACAGTGGTCACAACCAAATCTTGAAATAATATCCACAACTCAAAACACGATGGAACATGCATTTTGGAACTTCGAGATGCATTTTGGAAAACATAGATTACACCAGAAGCAATTAGGATTATGGAAAGACATGAGCAAGTTATAAACATAATTTTGAATGAGTTCTAACAAGAATATTGTTCAAAACAGGATGGGATAAAAAAGAAGCATATGAGTTGCAATGATAAGCAAAGTGGCTCTGCTGTCCAGAATTTCAATCAAAAGGCAAAATGGATATATCTCAAACTTTGATCAAATCAAACATCAAATTCATGAAATCTCACCCTAACTTACTTGAAATCTAAAGATCAACAAGATGGTAACAACCAAATGCCAAGATAATGCACTAACAACAGAACTGTCATTAATATGCCATGTGAAAATTGAAAAATGCAATTTGAAGACTATGTCATGAATGGAACAGATTTAGACCAAATAACCACCACACACAAGTTTTAAATGTGTCCATAGATGAATCTACAACTCAAGATTGAACATAAAATGAACACAATAAAAATTGGCTTAAAGGTTGCAAGTATGGTATGCTGTCATAACAGGATGAGGTACAAATTGGCACAGTTCAAAATGAGGTTTGGTTCATACACACATACAAGCCCTAATCATGTTAACTAAAGATCTAATGCTCATGAAATAAACCAAAAATTGCTTCAAACATAATGAGTGTATGGTGTGTGTGCAGCTGTGGTTTACAAAAAGCTGTTTGACAGCAAGATGATGAGGCATGCAAATTCAGTTCAAAATAGGTGGCTTCATGTCATGAAATTAGCACACACACATCACAAACATGAAAATAAATGAGATCATACTCAAAATTTAGGCATATTTCAATCAAAGCAAAAATTTGGTATGTTGGTTGCAAT